TCAACAGTCTTGAGAGGAATGTAGAAGATGCTTAGACAGGGAAAGACTATAAAAGAAATTCAGGAAAGAGGGGGTCAGAGGCTCGAAGATAGCTCTGGGAATGGAGGGAGGCCTCAGACAGATGTCGAGGTTGTACAGCAAGCTCAGAGACAGAGGGGCTGGGATTTAGGAGAACCTCCCAAGATGGCCCTATGATTCTCCCCCGTGGTTACGCCTGTACAGTCTCCTCCCCCTTAGTGGGCAGGACCTGGGACTCGATTCTAGGCAATAGAGCGCGTGTGATTTCTGCTGTGGAAATTGCAGGATCCGTGGGCCCTTAATCGAGGACTTTCTTCTTCGGTTGCTGCCAGCCGGCTTGTGGAGAGTACCTAGTGAATCTCATGTGTCCAGCAGAGAGGAATATGGGCCTCCCCACGCATTTCAGGGCCCGTCTTCCTTGAAGAGAAGGCAAGAAGCAGGAAGACACATTTTTCACTGGTGAGAGAAGTTTTATTTAGGTGGGCATAACAGTGCAGAACCAAAAGAGTGCTTCACCCTTCCCTACACAGCAGCCTTGATTTAGGGAGGGATCCACCTTTCATCCCTCCCTAAAGGGAGGCCGGCTGGATCAGAACGCAGAACTTGGACAGGCGGCTTACGTGGAAATACAAAAATGTAACAGTGATAGCCACCAAACTAGAGAGTTTCAAGGTTCTTGTGCTTTAAGGACCGTTTTCTAACCATGATACGCTGTCATCCTTTGATCCTTGTGGAACAGAAAGTGATCGTTCTTACCAAATGATACAGCAAAAAGAGCATGCGTGTCTCTCTTTAAAAGTTCTGGAGATGTTTGGTCGTTGAAAAGAATGTGAATTACACCTAGAGCACCGCTTTACAGAACCCCATTAGGCTGTAATTACGGTGCCTTTAAAAAACTCCGACTTGTAAACAGGAATTGATGGCTTCATCCTTTGTAGGGAACACTGGTGACACTGTCAAATTCTACAAGGACTTTCCTCCTCTGGTGGGCAGGGGAGAGCACTCAAGGCATTAGAAACTCTTGTCACTTTCAAGAACTTGAAGAACAATCACGGATCAAACACATGCTTTCAGTGACACAGTATTTTTACGGCTAAAGAGAGAACGCTGAAACAATACATTTCATTTCCAGCAGGCCGAACAAAGCAATCACGAATTAACATCTATTATGTTCCACAAATGACACAATATCATCTTTGCCAATCTTTTTTAAAGGTTTCACATCACTTGTGAAAAACAGGACCAAAAGGCCAACGATCACCCAGAAGGAGCCACTTCATCTCCACGCCCTCAGAAGAACCCCCAATTACTGGCAATTGCGCATTTCAATCAACGTTCCTTTTCAAGAGGTCGTTCTGGAAAATAACGGAGATCAGGGGCTTTAAAACTTCAATTTCAAAAAAAAAAAAAATTCATCACTGCAAGGCAACACTGAACTTGTACTGAACTTGGAAACTGGTCACAACTTCACAGTAAAAAGCCAAGGACTGTCATTACTTACATGTAGAGACCTAGTCATTTACAGAAATATTCCTCTCTCCACCGTGAGGCTGAGTCTCCCCTCTCGTCTCCTGCCGAGGACAGTTTGCCTTTTAAATCAACACAGTTAGTTGCCAACAAACTAGGACTTCTCCTAACAGTGTGTTCATGTGTTCACCAAATATTTACACAATGTCCGTTACACTCCAGCCAGTCGCTGTGTTAGGAGCCTGCGGTACAGCACTAGATAACAACTCCCATCACTGTAGATATTCTGTCAACTGGGACTGACAATAAGCAAAATAAACCAACGCGAACACAGTTTAAAACGCATGCGGCAATCCACCCCCAGGAGCAGAACTCCCTGTCACAGGACGGAGGCCGGCAGCGCCCCCAGCCCACCTCCGCTCAGTGTTGGATAGGAGAGGATGCTCAGTGAACAGGGAGCTTCTACGAGCGAGCGAAACACAGACGTGCAGCAAGCCCTGCCGCACAGCTGGAAGTTCCCGCATTTTCACAGCACAGCTACAAAGGAGGACAAAGCATTTGACAAGGGCTGTGCTCACCCTCACCCGCACTCTAGAGAAGCCGGACAGGGGTCGCTCCGGGCCACTGCCAGCCACACGCACTCTCTTAGTTGACTTTTTCAGCCTGACTCTACAAAATGAAATCCATTCCTCAAAAGGTAGAGCACGCTCAAGAGTGCGCAGACACGATTTCACTAAACACGCAGCAGCTTTCCACGTGGGCAAAGGGGCCTCCGTTCTGTGCCGTGCGCCTTGGTCTCCAGCCACAAGAGCACAGCTTCGTGGACGACAATGGCCCCCTGAAGGTGTATTTAGTGTTGTGTGCATCCCAGAGGAAAGGGTTCGTAGCTTTAAAAGTATTGGCAAGGGGTCTGTAACTTCCTGGAGGCTTAAGAATGTCTACATTCCCGTCTTAAGATGGGAAGTCTCTGCCTTCCGTGTGGTAAAAGCGAACACGTGGCTGGATACTGCTTTCAGAATGATCCGTTCGAGGCCCAGCTGGTGCTTTACTAGGAAGACGTGAGCCGGAAACAAAGTCAGTCGCTGGGGTACACATTTAGGATCGGTCTGTCCCCTTTTAAATGACTCTTACCCTCAGAAAATGGGACCCTCAAAAGTAGTCCTGTAAGCCAGCAACTCACAGGAGATGAACGAGTTACCTTCCTTGATAACACTTTTTCCCAAGCCAGAATGTATGACCAGGCATCCATATCAGCCCCTTAGCTCCACGACTGTTGTTCACGGGCAACTCCATGTCCGCCACAGGCTTGCCCTCACCCGCAAGGTCAGGTGCAAAAGGCCAGTGGAGCTCCTACTACTCAAAATCGATACCTTATCATTTTGTCCAAGCTTCAGACTGGAGTACTTGTGGCTAAAGAAGCTCTGGGAAAAACTGCGACCAGATTCTTAAAACCACCGGCTACAGAGGCTACGGCAGAGAGGAAAACAATATGGCATCCACCCAGAACACAGAGCGTTTGCTGGAAGTTTTCTGGAAGGGCCTTTATTGTGGCTGCTCCTTTTTTGTACCTGCCTCTGCCTTTGCGGCCTTTGACTAGACTGTGAACTCCTCAAAGCTGTGCCTTATTCATCAGAGCCACACAATCAGTGACTAGCAGGACTAGCCTGGGACATCGCAGACCCCACTGGAGCTCAGCAGGTAGGAACAGCAAAAAGGAACAGAGGTCAAGGACTCCAACCACAATCCTGATGAAAGGATTACGTGTGCCAGGGCTTACGGAACTGCTGTTTTCCTAAGATAATGGATCCACTTTTACTTCTTCAAAATACAAATAAGGGGCAGCCTGTAGAGAAGATGAAGCTTTTGTGGGGGCGGGGGAAGTATATGATAGAAAAATACCTCTCCGAAATCTTTTCCGAGTATAAAAAGAAACCAGTGAGGAGAACTGTGAACAGTGAACACACACACACAGTGATATAAAAATGAGGGGAAATGGGATATTTAGGTTACTACCATTTCTAAATCACACTGTAATTCAATGGTAATAAATATCACGTAATAAGAATAATTTAAAGCACTGATTGCATCCTTAATACTTATTATTAGCTTTCCATCTCAGAAACCATCACAGAGGCACAGCTAAAATCCACTTCTGTGAATACTCTGGAGAGAGACTAGAATATTCTCAGAATATTCTCAGCTTATATAACTTTTGTTTTTCAAAAAACAGTAATTATATTAAACAACTATCGCTAAGAGTCAAACGTAAACTTTAGGTTCCTGAGGATTACTTACTTTAGAAATGTGTTAACGTCCTAAGAACAAACACAGGGAGATCCACAGATACGGTTTTAAAGAATTTTGTATAAAATGTAAACATAGTTAGGACCCACTTACATGGTTAGAAAGGGAAAAGTTTTTTTTACATACTCTGAATCGGACTTAAATGTTTATGAAATAATGCTTGGGTGTTATATACCCGTTTTTAACATGTAGTCTACAATTCTCCATCAAAACCAGAACGTCCTTCCCAAATGGCCTCAAGTTTGATACCATACACTTCTAAATTAAAATGAATTTTTAAAAGATATGCTCCAGTGTAAATAAACCGCTAAGTTGTTCTGGCTCCAAGCACGCCATATGGCAGATGTCATTTATATGTTCTGATCATAATAAGCAAAATGTCCCTCGTTTTAAGCATTCTGTGTTCCGCTCATTTAAGTAACATCCTGTTTCGATTCTTTTGACAGCAGAGGATTACCTGCAGAAAACCCCTTGGAAAACTGAGTTGCTGTGCACGTGCAGATTTCCCCACGGGGCCCTTTTCGCGGCATTCTTTTCCTGTACAGAAGTCACAATGAAGTATCCTTTGCACACATCTCGTTCACCAAGTCTCCCGTCAGAGCAGTGCATGGGCCTGCAGCCCTTCCCAGCAGAGTGCGACAAACTCAGTTAGCCAGGGTGACAAGCAGCAGTGTGAAGAGACACCAGCACCGTCCCCAGGTTAGGACACCACCGGGAGCAGGACTGCCTGTGGGTTGGTGGATGTTTCTCTTGTCCAACAGTTATTAACACAGAGGAGACTCAGATTAAAATTGTATCCTGACATGTTTATTATTTTTTCCTGAAACAAATTAAAAATAAGGCCTCCCAAAGTCCTTGCTGGTAGCTCTGAGTCTCACTGCACTATCTCCACAGAAAGGTGTCCCTCTGAGGCACTCAAAGGGCTAGGACTCTTTGATGAGCCTTTCCACTTTCCATTCGATGAGGACTTAAACATCAACACTTGCTGTGGTTCACTCATCTCCATGGTGCTTCTCGTTGGAAGTCCATGAACCTTACTTCCACACCATTCTGTTGACCGTAATTTTCATCAGGGACTCGATAAGACACGCTCAGTGTTTCTACCAAGAAGCACTGGCTGCAAACCAGCTGGAAACCCGACCCGAGTGCTTCAGCCGTTACAAATCCCACCTCACAGAAGTCACAGATCTCAAGTTCAAAGGAAAAAACCTTCAGCAAGAAGAATCCAGAAGCCTCTGCCGAGCATCCTTCCCTCCATTGCTTGCTTTAGTTTCACTGGGTGCATTCAAATCTGTCAAAATGGAAAACAAATATTGATGGCAGAAGTCACACAGCAGGAAGCCACAGCAGGAATTACTTTCCCTTCTAGAAATCTCAGCATTCTTTGCCTTACCGGCTTTTGCTTCTGAGCCAAATTTCAGAGCACAGTGAAGCTAGGTCAGCGCCACGACTAAATCAATGAACTTTCAGCCTCTTTGAAAGGAGGTGGACAACAACAGGCAAGAGGCTCAGAGGTGCAGGGACAGAAGCAGCAGAACGGGACAAGCATGAGCGAGCATGACAGCAAGCAGGAATGCCTGAGCAAGAGGCAGCGCAGGAGACAGCGTGAGGAGGAAAAGGAGGAGAGAACAGTCTGGAGGAGGCACACCTTCCTGTGGAGGTCTGAGGCAGCACCAGTTCTCTCCCTCCGTCACCCAGTAGGGGAGGGGTCTCACCTAAGACCACACAGGAGAATGGTTTAGGGACGCCGGGCCGGGGTAAAGACGGGACGGTTCGTGGAGGCCGGCCGCCTGGGTGTTCCGTGGGCTTCCTCAGCCTCTGCCCTGAGAGCTAACCCTACCTTTGAGCTCTGCTGTCGGGTCTTCCTCCTCCTGTGCCATCATCTCCACAGTCTCGGGTCCTCTGCCGTCGACAACGTCCATCTTGATCAGGCCAAGGTTCGTGAGGAGAAGCATTGGGTCGACACCCTGGCTGCTGCTTTTGATGTTCTCCAGCACCTTCAGACACTTGTAGGACTTGAGCTCACTTATGTTCTCCTCCAGGAAAAGATTGTAGAGACTCAGGTCATTGTACCCTTCAGACTTGAAACGCAGGACTTCGAAAGTGGGCAGGATTTCGTACACTTTGAGAATGTCCGTCTTCTGTCGGGACGGAACACAGAGCGTGTAGACAACCACGGGAGCCAACAGGATGTACACCATGAGGTTGATAAAGCTGAGCAGCTGGAAGATGCCGACGGCGATGAGCTTGCACTGAAACCGCTCGGGGATGGTGGTGTCATTTCTCAGGATCCCCGACTTGATGCTGCACACAAACTCATCTGAGAGGGAGGAGAGGCTGAAGTAATAGCCCAGGTAGATGCACGCTAACAGTATTATGCTGAGGGTCAGCAACCGGCAGCTGACGTACTTGACGATCAAATTGTTACAGTGTTTCTTCGTCTTCAAGTACTGCTCCACAATTGGGTACTTGAAGTGGCTTTCAGATATCTCCCACAAACTAAAGGGGGTGGGGGGAGAATAAAAACTTCAACCCTTACGAAGATCAAATGTTAAAGACGTACACACAGAGCAATATCACACTAAAAATCTCAAACACCTTTCCTCCCTCCCTACTTTACCTATAACTTCGCTGGGGTATCAGGGAATAAAATCCTGTTTAAAAAAATCAAATAAAATGCTCTCCCCCTTAACGTTTTAAAGGTCTGGTTCATTAAATGAGTTATAATTGTAAATCCTTAAAGTGCCTGGCACTCAGTAAATGCTAAATGTTGACTGTTTGATTCTACTACTTTAAAAAAAAAAAAAAAACCTACAATTTTCTCAAGTGTGCAGAATAAAGACTTTCCAGCCCAACCAGAACATGCGCGCCTCCTGCAGGCAAGGGGCAGGAGGCAGCCAGCTCCTAGGGCAAGGGGGGGTCAGGCTCCAGACGGACAGACCAGGGTCAGGTCCCAGCTCTCCCACTGGTAGCTATGGGAGAATGTTTTTATCTGGGGAAAAGGTGGGGGGCAGTAAATAAATGCAGTTAGTTGTAACGACATTCTGAGGGTTAAATGAGATAATGTACTAGGAGAGCTCAATGTGGTATCGGGAATATTAGCTATAAATATGATCACCATTGTTGATGACAAGAACCAGAGAAGACTGTGCAACAGGCAATGCACTGCCTACTCATTGCCCATTTTTCTCACCCCGGTTCTCCAAGCTCAGCAGCCCCATAATCCTCTGTGCTTCTCCATTGAGGAGCAGGTCAAAGCAAGCAAGTACGTAGCGCCTTAACCTGTTACCCTACCTACATCTGCCTTCCAGACCACGAGACGGCGGCATTGCTCGCAAAAAGGGAAAGTTTCCTGATGTGAGGACAGGTGCGGAGGCAGGCAGGTGGGGGTGAGATTCGCGGGGGCGGGCCTTCCAGGCTCCCACAGCCTGTCTGTAGGTGGATGACCACCCCCCCCCCCATCTAGTACAGTGCGAACCGTAAGCCCAGAGGGGCAGGAGAAGGGCTGAGACGTCACACCCCAAAGCCTGATGAGAAACGAGCCGGGGGCTGAGTTACCTTTGTCCTGTGTTCTCATTAACACCTGGAACGGGGCCGGGACCGTCTCTCATGTCCTGATCACACACGCTCTTTGCGGCTTTAATGGAGCGGTTGTATACTTTGTCAAGTTCTTCCATGATAAACTTCAAATCTGAGCAAAGATGAGGAGCTGCTGCAAAACGCCAGAACAGGGCGGGCAGGTACAGGAGGATGGCGACCAGGAGCAGGATGTAGGGGAAAAACTGGAAAACAAGAGAGCAAATCATGGGTTCAACAGGTGCCCCACTTAAGTAAACAAAGTGTACCAGTGCTGCTCTCACTTTTCTCACTTTGAGACAATGTGCACACGCATGTCAATTTCGGAAATAGGGCTCATTACCTCGTAACCATTTTTGGCTGAATTCACCTGCGCAGCTACTTAACAGCGGTAACTACCTTTTTTTCCCCCTCCAAAAGACTTCAATTTGAATTTTTTTTTTTTTTCAACGTTTGTTTATTTTTGGGACAGAGAGAGACAGAGCATGATTGGGGGAGGGGCAGAGAGAGGGAGACACAGAATCGGAAACAGGCTCCAGGCTCCGAGCCATCAGCCCAGAGCCCGACGCGGGGCTCGAACTCACGGACCGCGAGATCGTGACCTGGCTGAAGTCGGACGCTTAACCGACTGCGCCACCCAGGCGCCCCAAAAGACTTCAATTTGAAATAACTGGCAACTACACAGTGACGCGTGGTGCCTCCGCCCTAATCACGGAAGGGAACAAAAAAATAAAATTACTCCCACGGCCTTTAGAGTAATCCCTCAGTAAAATCCCAATTAGGGAACGGATAAATGTCACAGTGGTCTCTGGTGGTTTTTGGGTTGTTTTCCATTGCCATGGTGTTAGGAGGTCACTAATCTTAGAGCTCTTTTCTTTCTCCTCTCTCTAGAATTTGGGAGAACGACCCAGGAATGCAGACCTTATCCAATACGAATTAGAAAAATTGTGGCTTCAGTGATCCAATAGTCACCCCTATTAAACAGCTGGAATAAGCCGTTAAAATTCACAGAATGCAGAATAGGCCTTCCATGCTGGACACTCCTGAGGACCACCCAACACCCTCATTTTACAGTGGAGTAATCTCAAGTCCAGACAAGCCAACCGTGACGGGCAACAGACATGTGGAGAGCATCTGGATGTGGATGTACGTGCAAAACAAACACAGAGGGGTTCAGGAGTCAGAGAAAGCAAAGAGCACCCGGTCACCAGGTCCATCCAGCCTTAGGAAAGGCTTAGCCCTGAGAGAAGATAAAGGAACACCATGTACCGCAGTTAGCACGGACCTGAGATTTAGTCCAGCTTAAGCATTCTTGGGTACTGAGGTCACTGAGCCTCTCACTCTCAGAATGAAATGGTTGTGTGATACAGGTATTATGAAGACTAAATTAGATAGTTTATGAAAAGTGTTTAGTGTGGTGCCTGGCATGTAAAATGCACGACAGCACACCAGCTAAAACCAACAGAAGGGCCACCTGGTGGGCACGTGATCTTTAGTCCTCGCATGGACACTGATAAGGCCTTTATCAATGGCTTTACTCTCAAAGGGGAAGAGGAAGCCCAGAACAGCTCCTAGCCACAGAGGACAAAGTGAACCCACGGCCATGCCTTTCCCACTGGAATACGCTGCAAATTATTTCTCTGGAAAATTTCTCCCGATCTTTGGCTTGGTCTCCAATTGCCTCAGAGTTGTGACAGTGATGGCCTTGAGATGACACAGAAGTCCCACCCCACAGATCTCTAGGGGCAGGCAGCTGGCCCAACACCGTGACTCTCACTGTAAAATCAGATGTACGGAGCGTTCTCAAGTAACACTCATCTGGTTTTCCCGCTGTTACCACTTTACATTTCCGTGGTATACTTGTCAACACTAAGAAACCATCATTGACCAAATTTCAGACTTTCACTTGGATTTCTCCAGTGTTCCCATTATTGTCTTCTTTCTGTTCAGAGATCCAGTTCGGGGTCTATCCGTGACATTGAGGCGTCGTGCCTCCCTCGTCTCCTTGATTCTGTGACAATTTCTCAGGTCTTTCCTGGTTTTTCATGTTTTCCATGCTTTTCATTTAAAACTAACACATAAAGTAGCACCTAAAAGTTCACAGAAGAAATGGGTGATACGGATATAGTTATCAGAATATTAAACAAATTTGTGTGTGCTTATTAACACATTAAGTAGGACCTACCCGTGCTGTACCACCAACTCTGAAGTGGTGAAGAGATCTGTAACAGAATCACAGAGTCCACAAATACCATGATGTATCGTTGCTTCCATGGTACATGTTTTCTGAAGTTAAGTTTTAGTCAAGAGATGCATAAAAAATAAAGCTGTGACGTGTCTTCCTACCCTCGTTCCCGGATTCCCTGCCACCACTTGGAGCCCACGCTCGGAATTCCCGCCCCACAGGAAAGACGGCAATGGCACAACGCCTCTGAAACTCTGCAAAGCCCCTTCACCAGTACAGGCACTTCAGTCCATACTGGGCATGGGATGGGGTTTCTCAAAATGATTCAACCCATGTGCAAAGGGCCGCTACACAATGACAACCGTGACAGGCTGCGATTCCATGAATTTCGGCTACATAATTCGTAGCTGGCTGCGGTGAGAAGCTCTGTTCCTTCAATCCTAGCGTACTCTAAAGGGGGGTAAAAATGGGATAAAAATGTAACCGTGATATAGAGTCAGTGCTGCTCCCAAGACCAAGAGAATCTGGCATTTTCTCTGGAAACTACAGAGGGAACACGATCTCTAATTTGGGACTGCGGAGTAGTTTTAGAAGTCACTTTTGTTTCTAGGCAATTTGAATTAATAGAATTTTACCACAAACTGTTCTTCTGAGTTAAAAAGTGCCTGTTTACAATCTGTGGCAATTTTCCCAACACGCCTAGGTGGTACAAGAATTAGTACCAATGAATAGATCAACATAGCTCATTGTAATTGGAAAAAATGAATGTTTAAGGGTATTTACATATAGGGTGTTTGCTTTCTCTTCCAATATCCCTGTACCTTGATCACCTCTGTAAGGAATGTAGTTGAATGGCCCACTCCTTGGTTTTCCCCACAGTGAAACCTCTTTTTCGTTTTCATCAAAAAGGAAAATGTGACTCTGTAACAAGGTGGTATTAAAATCGATTCAACAGAAACAGGAATCCAAAACAGCATTAAATTACAGTCTTTAAAATCCTTTTGTCCACATAAAGAACATGGAAAAACTGCCAAGCTTTACGAGTGCATCTGCTGGGTGGGAATGGCTTTGTCCATAAGCTTTGTCTGCTCCCAGTGAGGTCCGAGACACCGAGCATCTCTCAAGGCCACGGGGGTCCGTTAATGTGGTTCATGTTAACACCGAGCCCTTCCAGTGACAGTGAAGCTTCTCGAAACCACCAAAAGGAAGCACAATGCCCAGTCTGTGTGCCTTAAAAGTTTGCGTTGTTTCTGGAAGGGGTTGTAGTTAGAACAACAGAAGCTCCAGATGGAAGGAAGTGTGGAGAGGCTCTGGTACAGCCTCCTTCCACATTCGAGTCACCCCGACCTCCTCTAAGGCGAAGAAGCATCCAGTTAGGACTGACCATCTCCTCCCCTGAAATGTATGTGATCGCTTCTTACGGGATTAAATGCAGATGGGTAATTTCTTTCAAAAGCATCTGGGCTGGGGGCACCCGGCTGGCTCAGTCAGTGGAGCACGTGACTCTTGATCTCGGGTATGAGTTCGAGCCCCACATTGGGTGTAGAGATTACTTAAAGAAATAAAATCTTTAAAAACAAAAGGCAAACCACCTCCCACTCCGGAAAACCACATCTGGGCTGGAAGCTTGGCCCCTACAGACAAAATGCACAGAGTCTGCTCCAGGACCACACAGGCCAGATGGGAATGCAAGCTAACGATTAAACAAAACATAAAAGTGAAGGCCACTAAATACATAGGTACTAAGTAGCGAGCAACTTGAAATGTCCTTGGGGAGCTCAGGGAAGGCTTCATAAAAGAGGTGACATCTGAGCTACGTCTTCAAGTACTGTGAGGCAATAACAACAACAACAAAAACCCCCAAAACAATTCCATGAGTATATTAAGACCCAGCTCAGATTTCACCTTCTTGTGGCCCTTCAGACACACTCCTTCCTCTGCATGGAATTCTCTTTTTCTGCCAAGTGAATTCCTACCCGTCGAGGGCACCAAAGCAAATGAGTGAGCCCATGGTGAGGACACAGTAAGAGCTGAGGCTGGAAGAATGTACTAGGGTTGAATGGGGTCCCTCCCTGCCAAACTCATGTCCACTTGGAACTCAGAATGTGACCTTGTTTGGAAATAGAGACTTTGCGGATCTAATTAGTTAAAATGAGGCTGTACTATATCAGAGTGGGACCTAATCCAGTAACCGATGTCCCTCTAAGAAGACCATTTTAAGACACAGAGACACACAGGGGAGACTGGAGTGATGCATCTACAAGCCAAGGAACGCCACAGATGGCTGGCCACCACCAGCCACTAGAAGAGAGGCACACAACTCTCCCTCTGAGCCCCCAAGAAGGACCCCACCGTGCTGACACCTTCATTTCCAACTCCTGGTCTCCAGAAATATGAGAGAATGAAGTTCCGTTGTTCCAAGCTACTGAGTTTGTGGTAATTTGTTACAGTGGTCCTAGAAGACTCATATGCAGGGTAAGCAGGAACTAAATTACGAGGCCCTCACCTTCCCACATCATACACAATGGGAAGCCCACTGGTGGGGGGCATGAGGAAAATTTATTTTGCAAAGATTGCTTCAGCCGTGGAGAAGGGAACACACTGGAGGGGAGAGAGACAAGGCAGTTGGTTGCTGCGACGGAGAGGCGGGAAGTGATATGCACTGAACTGAGGCAGCAGCCGTGGGGAGAGGGGAAGACATTTAAGAGCTATCAAAAGCAAGAGACGGACATTTCAGTGCCTACCTGGAAGTGAGGGATGCAAGAGGGAAGAACAGAGGCTAATTCTACATTTCTAGCCTATGCAAGGGTGTGGGTGATAGTACCATTAGTTGCAATAAAGAAGCAAGAAGGAACAGATTCCAAGCAGAGGGGAGTGAGGTGGGAGGCAGACCCAAGAAGATGAGAAATTATGAACATAAGCTACTCACACCCCAAAACTCTAATCCTAGTGGAGAGTAAGTAACTGGAAATAAAAGAAAAAACTCCAGCTAACCTTACAATTGAGGATTTTGTAGCATAT